TTCTCTGCCTTGGGAAGGAAACATTAAATTAATTAGTTTCCATCAAGAAGTCAAGGAAGAAAGAAAACTCAAAGCGTTCGTCTGGAAAGAAATTACTGACCTTGTTTGCTGTAAAAGCTTCGCATGAAAACTGTCAAATCCGCATAGTAGTGACGTCTTTTTTCAAAGTTTTTTTCCTCAATTATAAATACTTTTTCTTATATACTGAAACAAATTTATTTTATTCAAAATATTAAAAATAATTATTACTTTTAACATAATTAAATATTATTGAGCAATTTCATTCGTCCGCCATATTGGATTCGCCATTTTGAATTTGGAAAAACTCACACCAAATACGTAATCAGAGATCTAAAAAGACCTCCGAGTAGCAATTTTTAATCAAATCCGATAATTTTTTTCAAAAATCGGCGCCATGTTGAATCCACCATTTTTAATTTTGAAAAAATAACATCAGATTTAAAATCACCCATATATATATATACACATTTTTTTGTTGAAATTGTACAACTTAATCTTTTATAATTTGGTGTAATAAATTTTAAATATAATATTATCATCTCAACACACATAATATAAAAGTAGTTTAAAAAATTATGTTAAATCGATTGAAATTTTTTTTTTCAAATTCAATTAAACTGAAAACAAGAAATAATCTACTTAGTTTATTGATATTTAAATGAGAAAAACTAAATGAGGAGAAGCATTTAAAGTTAAAAATTGATTTTAAAAAGGTGGAATTTTATTTAATTTAAAAAGTAGATACTAGTTTTTAATTATATGGTAATTATCTAGAGTAGTATTATACATACCTATATGTATATATATAATCAGAAATTGTAGAAAAAAAGCATATTAAGATCATATAAATATAGAGGATATAAAAGGAGAGTGCAAAGTTAAAACATTAAATATAAAGCTCCATTCTAATTACAAGCCGCAAATTCAGATTCAATAGGATCTTACGAGCAGAAAACTTTCTTTCATTAAGAGTATTAAGTTAATTCTTTTATCGCGTAAAGTGAAACTTTTCTTTCTAGATTTCGCTTGTCATGGGAAGCTGGGTGATCGCGATTCATTCGCCTTGAGAAAAAGAAATAAAACGAGGTATATCTCCTTTTTTCGCGACGACTCGATGGTATTTGCAACCATTTTTCAACTTCAGTCGACCATTGCCAACAGAAAATTTAATATTGTTACTCGTGAGAGAACAGAGAACTGAGAAGAAAAGAGAGAAAGAGAAGAGCAAGGTTTGAATGAATGTGAACCGACGACTGCCCTGGGAACAGTTATGCTTTAAACTGTCTTGCAACTTTCGCAGTTTATCGTATATATATGTATATATACTTGCAATACTTGCAAATCTGAAAAGTATTCAAGAATTGTGTCTTTTGTCAAAGGAGCAACGTTTCGTCAAATTTCTTTATTTTCTTAAATCGTCAGTTATTTTTTCCCCTTTAACTATAATATATTCTAAAACGACATTTCAAAAGAAATATTCATAGTTTGAAAATATTCCTCATTTTATTGAAATTTTTTCTGTTTTTTTTTTAAAGAGAATTTATAAAATTTTACAGTAAATTTGTATGATTTTTAATTTTTTCGTCCTCCATCTTGGATCAGCCATGTTGAATTTAAAATTTTTTTGAAAATCTGACATCAAATTCGTAATAATTCACCCTAATAACCTCAGAATTACAAATTTCAATGAAATCTATGATTTTTAATTTTTTCGTCTGCCATACTGCCGCCCCAACAAGAATAACCGTATCTGCATTTAGGATGAGTCACCTACTTGCCACTGCCACTGCCACCAATAAGTGACTTATCCAAAATGTAGTTACTGCTACTCTTGTTGGGACGGCAGCATATTGGTTACGCCATTTTGAATTTTTGAAAACCGACTCGAAATTCGTAATGAGCGACCTCTAAAACTGTTAGTAACTAGTTTTAAACAAATCTAATGAATTTTAACAAAAAAAAGTCCGCCATTTTGAAAATCTATCATATTCGTCATCAGTGACCAATATGTTAACAAAAAATTAAAGTTGAAGATTAATGGATTTCTAAGAAAATGCGTAGAAAATCAAATCTTTAAAATCTTATTCATTTACAGTTAAATAATTTAAATAAGCATTTAACAATATTGCAAAGAATTCAAAAATTCTTAAAGAGTGACGCTAAAATCTACTATTTTTTAGTCTATTTTTGAGCCCTCGAATTTCGCATTTAAACATAGTCCAAAGTGCTTTCTATTCAGGGAAAATAATTCCATAAACGTTTAGAGTTCAGCATAAACTTTGTTTTGAAAATACAACGTTAAAATATAACGATGAAAATACGTTCAGATTCGCTTGAAACTTATTACTTGGTTTTTGGGGTCGCTTATTACGAATCTTGCGTCAGTTTTAAAAAATTCAAAATGGCGGATTCAATATGGCGGACGATTTTTCAAAAATTGATCGGATTCGCTTGAAACTTGTTACTCGGGGGTTTATGAGATCTCTGATTACGAATCTGGTGTCAGTTTTCAAAAATTTTAAATGACGGAAATGATTCCTGAAAATCGTCCATATTGGATCCGCCATTTTGAAATTTTGAAAACTGATGTCAGATTAGTAATCAGTGATCTTATAAACCCCCCGAGTAACAAGTTTTAAGCGAATCCGATCAATTTTTGAAAAATCGTCCGCCATATTGAATCCGCCATTTTGAATTTTTTAAAACTGACGCAAGATTTGTAATCAGTGACCCAAAAAACTCTTGAATCATAAGTTTCAAGTGAATCTGAGCGTGTTTTAATTGTTATATTTTAACCACATTTTAACACTTTTATCAAACTGTATTTTCAAAACAAAGATTATACTCAACTGTAAACATTTATATAGAATTATTGTCCATCAATATTAAGCACTTTGGACTAAGTTTAAATGCGAAATTCGAGAGCCCAAAAATGGGCTAAATTTAGCGTTACTATTTTTTTTTTTAATTAATTAAAATATTACTATCAATATATATGTCTATATGGAATTAAATAGATCATCATTCAATATATTCTAACAAATTCTACAGAAAATATAAATGAAAAAAAATTAATACAAATATTCTTTTCAATTATTTGAAAATATTTGTTTTTCGATTCATTTTTGTTTTTTTGAAAAATCTTTTCGATAATAAATTTTTAGGATAGTACAAAAAAAAGAAAAAAAAGCTTCCGAAGAGAAGCATTTTTTTTTTTGAAGAAGAAATTTTGTTTCAAATGAAGTTTTGAAGAGCGAACATGATGATTGACATAAATCCGAGAATTTTGCAATACCATATTTTCACGCGTCGAATAACTGATTTTTCTATAAAAAACTTTTATTCCTTTATTTATTGCGTAAGCTCTGTATAAAACTGTTTTAATTGAAACCATTTTATGGAAGAATAAAATTTCCCCCTTTTCCCGAAACCGCATCGTGATATTGATTTTATTTTCGTGATTTTGCAAAATGCTACATTATTATTTGGCTTTAAACGTTTTATTTACATATATATGAAGAAAAAAAATTTAATAATTTTGAAAAATTGAAAATTTTCTGAAAATTAATACCAAAAAAAACAGTTTTAAATTAAATTCAAAGTAAATAAATATTTTAAATACTGATGCTTTTGTATTGTAAATTATGATTGTACATAATATATATATCTATGTATAGTGTTGAAATTTATTGAGGAGGAAATGAGCGTGTTATCGAATAATTAAATTATAATCCAGAGAAGTTTCTTGATGTGGTGAAGAAGAGCTGAATAGACAAGAGTTTCGATTCTGGTATCGAAATTGTTCGAACCACAAATCGTGGTCTATTACACTTCTGAGCCTACTGCGAATCGCATGTGAAAGGATTTAGCCAAAAGCATAGGTATAATGTAGCAGTCTCTTGATCCCTAAGCCGGCTTGTATTGACGTGTAATGACGAAGGTTTCGTATTGCTAATTTCCCTCTCTATATATCGAATAGTTCATGCACCTAGGCTTTCATTTCATCCAAATTTATTCCCCCTGTATAAATCAAAAGCTTCCAAATATTTATTTTCTTTATGTGAAGTAATATTAAAGAAGAAAAAAATATATTTATTTCAATCAATTGAAATTATAACCAATTAATTAAATTACATTTTACATATAATAATTATCTGTTGTTTGTGGTCCAAATTTAAAATTATCTGAATTAAAAAAATTTTTTTTATTAATTTATAATTATTTTAAATAATTTATTAATGTAGAACTAAATTAAAAATTAAATTTTATCAATTATTTTGAGATTTGCATTGATAAGATTTTTAAAATTATTCGCACTTAATAATAATCTTCAAATAATTGATAAAAATTAATTTTTATTGAAAAACATTGTAACAATAAATTTAACACACTTAAAAAATTTTTTTTATTGTTTTCTAAATATTTTCTTATATTAAAGCATTTTAAATAAGAGCGCCTTTTTCCTCCAATGAGAAAAAATTATAGTAACGCAAGCGCAGTTGCGTTTTGTGATGTCGTTATCATCTTTGGTTATGTTTATGATAGTTTGGAGTAAGTAAAAAAAACTAAAAATACACAAAGAGAATTAAATACAAATCGTTAAGTTTTTATCATATGAAAAATAAAAATTGATTATTTGATTTTACATATAATCAAAAAAAAGAACTTTTAATCATAATAGTGAAACTATCATAAACATAACCTATAACTTTTTCCAACTTCCTTTTTTTCAGAGCCCATCAATTTTGGTTTCAATTGAATTTTTGAAAACAATTTTTATTATTAGTCTATCATATAAGAATAATAAAAAAATATTTAAAAAGAAAATTTGTATTATAAATATTAAAAATAATTTTTTTATTTTTCTTCTAAAAATTGAACTATTTCAGTGAATACAAATTTTAGAATAATGGGAGAAATTATTTGCTCCTTTAGACGAATGTTGTTTCGAATTATAAAGTTGTTTGTTTTTGTTTTAGGTGAGCGAACCGAAGCCATGCAAAGGGATGCTGAATACATCTCTTCCGGAAGTGACATTAGGTGTTGGTCTCGACTCCTCCTTCCTTTGGCGTGGCTTCTAACCATCGCCCGAAACAGACAAACTTTCCTGCATTAAAGCAATTACAGTATTTTATGTGTACCTCGCTAAAGATACATGCACACTCTAGACAAGGATCTGTTGATAGAAGAGGCCAACATTAATTTATTAGTTTAATTTTCAAGTAATTTACAAAACTTCTCGACAAAGAGGCGAGAGGACATTAAAAAAAAAAAAATTCTTTTTATAAAAATATTTCACGCTTTTGTAAATATAGTTCCATCACTGCGGAAATTGAAAGAAATCATATGCTTTTTTATATTTCTAATTATTTATATTAAACACGTTCTGAAGAAAGATAATTAAGAAGCAAAATATTATAGGTTATGTCACAGGTTGCCAATAAGGTTATTCAAGTTGGGTGGGGGAAAGCCAAGATGGTTGCTTGCTGGTGCACCTATCAGCCTATCAGCATTCATTTCCACGAGAAATTTCTCGTGGAAATGAATGCTGATAGGCTGATAGGTGCACCAGCAAGCAACCATCTTGGCTTTCCCCCACCCAACTTGAATAACCTTATGACCGTATCTAAACGCAACTGCGCTTGCGCCAAGATAAGTCTCTCATTGGCAAGGAAAAGCGCGTTTTTATGAAATCTCAGTACAATCCATTAATGTTCAAGGTTAAATTATCATTAACATAACCTATAATTTGTTTACATTTTAGATTCCTTTCTTCAGAGCGCGTGACATACAGTAAGATTATTTGACTATGAATCACCTCCAATATAGTGTTAAAGTTTATGCAGACTTTAGTATATTTTACTTTAGAAATATGCAACCCGATTTACAGAGAAGTTTGAAAAAAACATTGAAGAGGAGTCATTTTTAAATTTGCCGCTTGAAATTGGATGCGCACGATGATTTAAGTCATCATGTGATAGCAGAAAAGGCATGTTGGAAACCATTTTGGTTATACGAAATCAAAACATAACCCCAAATAATCATCGTATTTGACATTATTAATAAAAAACAAATAGAAATAAAAAATAAATAGTCATTAAAAGATTATAATAATGATAAAAAAGTTAAAATAAAAATTTAGTGAAAAAGTGTTTGGCAATTTTATCTACATAGTGTGATGTGGAAGAGAAATATTATGTTTATTATTATTATTATTATTTATTTATTTTTAATTATTTTTCTATTTACCACAATTATCGCAACAATGAATAATCCGTCAAAAAATTTTGAGAGGTTGATAGAAAAATTTCTATAAAAAATAAACGACGTCTTTCCTTATCATTATTATAATCTTTTAATGACTATTTATTTTTTATTTCTATTTGTTTTTTATTAATAATGTCAAATACGATGATTATTTGGGGTTATGTTTTGATTTCGTATAACCAAAATGGTTTCCAATATGCCTTTTCTGCTATCACGTGATGACTTAAGGCCAGGTCCAAGTCGTGTCAGCTGTTCCATTGAAACTTCAAAGGAACAGCTGACTCGACTTGGACCTGGCCTTAAATCATCGCGCGCATCCAATTTCAAGCGGCAAATTTAAAAATGACTCCTCTTCAATGTTTTTTTCAAACTTGGCTGTAAATCGAGTTGCATATTTCTAAAGTAAAATATACTAAAGTCTGCATAAACTTTAACACTATATTGGGGGTGATTCATAGTCAAATAATCTTACTGTATAATTGGACACGAAATCTGTTTTAACAAAAATTTATAGATAATTACATACTTTTAATCATTCCATATATGAAAATGTATAAACCAATTTCATATTTTTAAAATGCAATAGTTTCTTTAATTCAATTATAATTTCAATTGTTTTTCAACTTTATTTTGATATTGTACTATATATACAGTTTTATATAAAATTAAAAACCAAAATAATTGCTTTCATTATTAAAAACAAATAATTATTTTCAAAAAAATTTCACAAAATTGCAATGAAAATCTCATTAATGAATTTCAAATTAATTAAATTACATTATAAGCTTACTCGTATAGAGTAAAATGCGTTTATTCATGTAAATATTGCTCTTAAGAGAATATAACGTAATAATGTTATTATTGAATTAGTGGAAACATTTATGTATTATTTTTATGCATACCTATATATGTATTATAATTGGATTATCAAAAATATTAATACTAATTATTTTCGACTTAACTGACGAATGTAATATTTTTCGTAAATTTTTCAATTGTAATTTTTTTTTATTGATAATGAAAAATTAATTATTATTTTTTAATAAGCAAGAAATTAATTGTCGACCACTTGTCAATATATTCAAAAATTGCTTTTTTGATGGATTTTCGAACACACAATTATTGCATTTTTTTTTTTTAATATAAATAATAATAATTTATGTACAATAATAACATTGACTGATATTAGATAAGGTATTTTATTTGTACAATGTACTTGATTTATTTATATTACTGTTTAAAAAAAATAGATCTAAGGTTTTTGCGCAAAAATCAGAATAATATGTTAATAATAAAAATTATATTTAAAAATATATAACTCGCACATTTTTATATTTATAATACTTTTTTTTTATTTTTATTTTTATTTGTTATATATAAATGAGAAATTTATTATTTTATATGCAAAGTAAAAAGGTTTTTTAAAAATATTTATTTATTGAGAGAAAAATGCTTTTAACTATAACTAGAATATAAAGTTTATATTATTATTTTTATTATTATTATTATTATTATTATTATTATTATTATTATTAAATCCAATTTTGATATAATGGGAATTAAAATGGAATTACTGTAATTGAATTTCTAGATTATAAAATCAATACATGTTTCAAAAGCATTAGATATAAATTGATGGATATAGTGCTTTAACAGATTAATTATATCTCCAAAAAACAACAAATTTATTCTTAAAAATTACTAATAATAAAAAAATTATTTTTATAGTTTTAAATTAAAATTAAAAAGAGTACACTAAAAAAAAGTTGGGATCAAATAGAAATTATTTGATACACATAAAAATTATTTCTAAAAAAAAAAATTAATTATCTATTAGGTATCCATTAAATATCTATTTGAACCAAATAAATATTTACTAGATCTAAAAATTGTATTTTATCGTATTTAATAAATAGTAATTTGGATCAAATTTAAATTATTTGAAAACAAATAAATGATACTTTAAAGAAGAATAATAAAAAAATTTAGATTTTCTTTTTATTTAAAATTAAAGATATCTTTTTAAATAAAATTTTGATAATTATTTAACTAAATTAATGTTCCTAATTAAAAATATAAATAAAATAATAAAGTATAAATAAATTATTAATTTAATCGAAATATTTTTTATTTGCTGTCATAAAATAATGTATTAGCATTGAAAACGTACATTACTTGCATTAAATATTTAAGTTTATCTAAATTAGTAAAATATAATTATTGTATCAAATAATTTTTAATAACATCAAATATCGAAATATTGAAAAAATAAATTATTTGAAAAAATTTATTATTTTGTTTAAACAATTAATTTATTAGATTCAATTAACTATTTTCTTGATATAATTAAAATTTATTTGATTTAAATAAGTGTAATATTCAAAGAAACGAAATTATTTGAATCAAATATATATTTTTTTTAGATAGAAATAAAAAATATTTAATTCAAACAAATATTTTTCATTTAACTTAAATTGAATTAAATAATTTCATTTTAGTGTAAGTATAACAAATTATATAAAATATATAAAAGTAAATATTCCAAAAATTGAAACATTCATAATAGAAAAAAAAATACAAAACTGGTTATTAAAATATATTAAACTAGAAAAAATGAACAAGATAAAAGAGTAATAAATAATTTCTTAAAGATTAAAAGCTCCTTTAAAATTCTCTTTTAAATATTAAATCAAAATTAAAGAAGATTCTTCTTTCTCGCTTCTATCTCACTTGAATCTTTTTTTTTTCTTCTTTTTTTTATCACATTACCTCACTTAATTCTAAATTTCGAGTTGAAGTCACGAAGCAATTTTACGACCGAGTTTTAACGAATTGGGCTAATTACATTTTAAATAGGACACTGCCCTGTTTTCTATTTAATGGCCTTAATGACGTCCAATTTGGGTAACACGAAACCAGTTTTATAATACGAGTATATTGTATAGTAATAGTAATATATATATATATATATATATATATATACAAATATAATCAATATCAGAAAAATTTTTAAAGCGGAAATATATTACAATGATATAGGGTAGATGTACCGGTTTTGGCCACTTTAAGGATTTACGTATTATTTAGCACATCTTTTTTTTATAATAATTAGGGGAATAGTGTCAGGGTTGGACACTTGTCAGGGTTGGACACTTGGCTTTTTTTAAATAAGAACACTAGCGCCACCTGTGTGCGTACGTGACGAATCTTCTAGTAGTGTAACCTAACTTTTTGTGGCATTAAATTTTTGGAGAATCAAAAGTAGCGTCTCCTGTGACTTCGGTGCAAGAAGACTAGAACCAGGAGGTGAAACTTCCACGCTTTACCGCAGTGAGTAGTGGCATGGTAAGCGAGCACACGGTGGGCGTGTCGTTTAAGTTCGTGCACTGCTAATAGAACGAATTTACGAATTCTGCGCATACTATCCATGTAGGTTTTGAAGGGGAAATTTCGTAGCAAGCAGCTGCAAATGTTTGCGTCTGCTTGGTTAGGTAAATTATATAATAATAAAATGCTTGGTCTGTCCTTCTGTCCTAACTTGAAGTTGGCCTTTTCTGATTTCACGTGTTTTTTTGAATAGTAATCTTATGACGTGTCAAATTTTGACAATTCTTTTTCTTATTTTTGCCAAAGTTGTATAATTGTGTTTCCAAATTTCGGAATAAGTTTCTTTAAAATTCCAAATTCGAAAATTCAATTCACGAAGCTGAAGTACACAACGTTTACCAACGAAATTCTTTTTAAAGTTGTATATTGATTCAAAAATTGTACAAAAAATGTATGATGAGAAAAAAGATGCGCCAGGAAATTTCGTATAAGATAGTAATTTGAAAAACATTTATTTTTAAAAATTAATTTTTAAGGTACCAGGGGCCAACGAATACCTATTAAATATTAATTATAAAAACACAGGCCTCGAATCAACTTAAAGACACAAAAAAGTCGTTTTAGTCGATTTATATTCCAAAAAAAAGTGGATTTGTTTTTTATTTTAACAAAAATATTTTACAGATTTTTAAATAAAATTTTTTTTTTTTTTAATAATAATCCTTTTCGAAGGGTAAAAATTGAAATTTTTAGAAATAATTAAATTTCAAAGATATTGTTAATTTTCAAACAATTATTAAATTTTCCAGAACTGAAAATAATTTATCAAACAATTTTTGGAAAACATTTTTTTAATTTAA